CTGAGCAGGGAGCCCGATGAGGGGCTCGATCCCAGGACCCTGGGATCATGACCTGAGCCAAAGGCAGACGCTTAACGACTGAGCCACGCAGGCGCCCCTTGAGCGTACTATAGATACTTGTTTGTCTTATTTGGGCTTGGCATGTTATAAATATTCTGGAAGTGGTCACTGAATGAATGAAAGGGTGCAGGGAACAAGGACAGAAAAAGGGGAAAAGCCTCGTTAGAAAAAAGGAACACGTTTGGAGACTGGGAAGGAGAGAAACAGGGAACAGCCAGGGGCCCAAGCTCTAGCGTCACTCAGTGTCCCTTCCCTTCTTGTGCTCACTCCACCTGCTTATGAAGCCAGCCTCGGATGTGCACCGGGAGGTTGGGATCCCTTCGGAGAGCATTGCCTCTCTTCCCGAAGGCGTGCACCTTGCTTACTGCCCTGGTACGCTTCTGAGGAGAGAAGGAGGACAGAAATGAACAGGATGGTCTTGGGTGCCATGGGATGCAGGCAACCCAAGGCCCTGGCTTGGCTGCCCTTAGACACCAAGCCAAGGAGGGAACTGACTTTTGAGATCAGAACTGGATGTGCATGGGGGCGCCTGGGTGGCTCAGTCGGTTAAACGGCTGCCTTCGGCTCAGATCATGATCCCAGGGATGGAGCCCCGCATCGGGCTCCCTGTTCAGTGGGGAGCCTGCTTCTCCCTCTCCCTCTGTCTGCCGCTCTGCCTACTTGTGTTCTCTCTCTCTGTGTCAAATAAATAAATAATCTTAAAAAAAAAAAAAGAACTGATGTGCATGGAGTCCAGCGGGACTGTTACTCTGGTTGAATTAGGAAAATCCGAGGGGTGGGGACAGCTGGGAGTGCCTGTGAATTCCTAGCTGGGGCTGTTGGGCAGTTTGGGATCTTACTAGGTGTGGTGGAACCCATCGCTAAGGGTCCCTGCCCTTAACAACGGGAATCCTTTGGGTTGGCACAGAACCCAGGGCTGGGAAACAGGAGGATGGGGCAGTCCAGAGCCCTGCCCTCCTCCCCAGCCCCTCCAAGAACCTCGAACCTTGGTGCTCAGGCTGCCCAGCGAGGAGATGGTGGAGGCGCTGCTGGCCAGGCTGACGCTGCTCCGAGGTCTGCCCTCCTCCATCAAGGGCTTAGGGAGAGAAAGAAAGGGTCTGTGTGCCTGTCTCTGCAGCTGACCCGGCTGGGGACAGAGACGGGGTCAGGGGCTCGCAGGTCGGTGGAGGCTGAGGAGAAAGAGCCCGTTGTCTGGGGACTGGGGGGCTGGGGGAGGCCCTGGCCCGGGACTGCATACCGAGAGTGATGCCAAGAGAGGTGGGCAGCACTGGCAGCTGCGGGGAGGGGGCAGCTGTCTGCAGCCCAAGACAGAGAATAGGGGCTCCTTTATTCTTGCCCCCTGCACTCTAGGCAGGAATTTGACCCTCTCTGTGCTCAGGGAGCCCCCAGTCCCTGCCCCTTCCCGGCCGCCCCCAGCTACCTGTCTCCTGCCCTCCACCCGCACCCCCAAGAAAACCCTGCCAAGTTCTGGGATGCCAGGAATGCACACCCAGGCAGTCCCTCCCAGGCGAGCCAGGGAACTTACCAGCTCTGGGGTCCCAAGGGCGGGGGCAAGAGGGCCGTGTGAGTGCTGGGGCCCCCAGCTGCAGTGTCCCTCCTTTTCTGGCGGGATGGGGGACGACCTCTCAGACCTGTCTCCCTTCTCACCTGCTCACTCACGCGCGTTTTGCTTTTCTTTTCGTCTCTCCTCTCTTCTGGTCACTCTTCCCTTTCTTTCAGAGCGTCTCTGTCTCTGGCCTCACCTTGTCTCTCAGTCTCTCATCTGTCTTTTCCCTTCGCGTCTTACTGTTTCTGTTCCCGATCTTTTTCGCTCAGATTTACAGAGTCTCTCCTCCCCAGGTTTTCGTCTCGTTCTCTCCCCCTCTCTCTCCCTCACCCTCAAGCTCTTCCTCCTTCTCTCTCTGTCCCCACCGACGCTGTTTCCTCCTCTCCCTCAGATTCCCCTTCTGTCTTCCTCCCCTCTCCGATTCTCTTTCCTCCCTGCTGGTCGGCCAGCCGCCCACGCTGCGGTCTCCCCTTCCAATCCCGGCTGACCCCGCCCCTCGTGTCCTCCCCCACCCCCACTTCCAAGCCTGACCCCTGGCTCAGCTGCCCCCACCGCTGAGGGGAGGGGCTGGCCCCCCCACTGACTCTTGGGTCCCTGCTGGGCTGGGATTCCTAATGTTTGGAGAGGAGGAGCTGGGCCCAGACTCCGGGGTCGGGCCACTGGCACGCTGAAGGAAGGTAGCTGGGATCCTGGAACTAGAGGGGTTCAGACTTCTGGGTACCTGACAAGGTGTGAGCCTGGAGTCAGGACTCCTGAGTTGTTAATGGAGCCGGGCATCTGGAAATGTGTTTGAGCGGATGGGTCCAGGTTTTCCAGGGAGGAGAGAGTGACCCTGGACTCCTGGATTATGGCTAGGGCAGGGCCAGGTGGCCATGTCAAACATCTACCTCAGATCCAGGTGAGAATTGTGTTCTAGACTGAGGATGCTGCCCTCCGGAGGGAGACATCGTCCCTGGGCATATTTCGAGGCCAAAATTATGGACCAGGTAGGGGAGATGGGCGGGGAATTGGGACTGTGTACCTGGTCCTGGAACTTGTGGCAGGAGACCCCACCCCCATGAGGTTCAGTCGTTCTACCCGGCCAGGATTTCAATTTGTGTATGAGCTTTTTTTTTTTTTTTAATTTTTATTTATTTATTTATTTGACACACAGAGAGCACAAGCAGGCGGAACAACAGAGGGAGAGGGAGAAGCAGGCTCTTTGCTGAGCAGGGAGCCTGATGCGGGGCTTGATCCCAGGACCCCAGGATCATGACCTGAGCCAAGGCAGATGCTCAACCAACTGAGCCACCCAGGCGCCCCTGTGTATGAGCTTTTGTATGAGTTTGAAGTGGGTGAAATCCAGGTATGGAGCCTTGTGCTTGAGACCAGGAAGGAGTCTGAGTTTTTGGTTTCGAGTCCACTCACCCAGTATTTGTTGAGCACCTACTATATCCCGGGCACTGAGAAAAAAAGCAGTGAGCAAAGCCAAGTGCCTGCCTTCAGGGCGCTTACATTCTTGTTCTCGCCTCAATCTAGACTCTGCTGCGACCACCTCGGGCAAGTGACTTAATTCCCAAGCCTCAGTTTCTCATCTGTGAAAATGGACTGTGTAAAAACAATGCTCTCCCCCGCCCCAGGAAGGAAGCGGACCGGCTGTGACGATGGGAGACTCTAGCCTGGGTCCTGATGATTAAGTCGGGGCGGGAAGCCCGTTTTCCCACCCCGAGAGTCGTTGGGAGAGCGCCCGGGCGGCTGAAGCCGTGCACGCGTTTGATTGACAAGCTCGCGTGTTTCGGGGCGTGGTCGCGCTCGGAAACGCCGCCGTGTAGTCACAAAACCCCCGGAATCTCCGCGAGAATTCCGACCTTACTTTCCCTTCCCCCAGCCCTGACGCCTTGGTTTCGAAGCTTCGCCTCCCCTCGTGACGTCATCACGCGCGGGCGCGTAGGCCCATAAAAGCCTTGCGGGCCGAACCAGTTCCCAGCCTCGCTGTGGATCACTCACGCCGACGAGAAGAAGCCCGCATCTCTTGGCCGCGACGGTGCTTGCAGCAGCAGGTGATAACCTGAGTCCCCGAGCCCGGCACCGGAGGGCGAGATGAACGCGCTGGCCTCCCGAGCCGTCCAGATCTGCGATCGCTGGTGGCACCCCGAGCCGGCGTTCTTGCCCCCCGGGTGACGCGCAGCCCCGAGTCGGTGAGTGAGGGGTCCGAACGCCTGGCCCCCCCAGCAGCTGGGGCCGGGGATCAGACTCCTGGTCAGTGAGGAGGGAGTTTGCACTTCTGGGTACCGAGACAGGAGGGTTTGAGGCCGGGACCCCTGGGTCCTGAGGAACGAGGGTCTGGGAGCCCAGACTCCTGTGTCTGGGGAGAGGTGGGACCAGGACGCACTCCAGGGCTCGGACTTGGGAAGGAGAAGAAATTGGGAGCCTGAGCCTGGCGAGAGGAGGGTTCTGGAAGCCAGACTCATGGATCCCCAGTGGAATGGATGGAACCCCGCGGGGGCCGCAACTTTTGGGTCTCAGGGGGAGGAGGGTGATGAGGGCCTGATTTGTGGATCCTCAGGAAGATGAGAGAACCAGGAACTAGGACTTTGTCTCCAAGGGAAGCAAGTAGAGGGCCTGTATTCTCAGTTCTGGGAACTGGGACTTCTGGGTCTGAGAGAAGAGGCTGGGGGCTCAGACTCCTGGGTATTGAGAGGAGAGAGGTGGGAACCACATTGTGCCTCTGCTGGAGATGAGAGTGGCAGGGATCAGCAAGGAATGTGGGGCAGGGACTCTCTCGTTGCTATTTGTGTTACTATTTCTGTTGCTATGACTCACAGTCATCCCTTGATGCTCTCCCTTACATGGCTTCTAAACTCTATTTCCTGTTGTTTATTTCCAGCCCAGACAGATGGCCCCAGGCCAAGTACCCCATCAGCCTGCCCCCTGGAGGGATACCTACCCCTTTTTCCTCCTGTCCCCGCTGATGGGCCTTCTCAGCAGGGCCTGGAGCCACCTGAGGGGCCCAGGACCTCCAGAACCCTGGATGTTGGAAGCATTAACCGGAACCCATCCGGGAGAAGCTGGCCCGGGGGGAGAAGCTAAGACATTTCCCGCCACCTGCCATGCCCCCTGGGGCAGGTACTTTCAAGGGGAGACTGGAGACAGTGGAGCAGCTGAGGATGATGAAGTGTTCTGGGAGGGCTGCCATGATCTAAAAGCCAACAGTTCTCCTCTTGAAGCCTGGGAGTTTTCAGAGGATGATGAAGAGTATGGTGGGGAACAAGCAACTAGTGTCCCTAAAGAGCAGGGAAGTGAATTTATAGATGGCCAGCCTGCTTCCTTGTCCCCCAGCCTTCTGGTAAGAGCCCTGCAAGAACCTCCTGGAGAGGAGAAATCTGAGGAAGGAGCTGCGGAAGTTGAAGTGGTCACGTTCTTCTCTTTTCCTCCATCACACTCACCAGGGGAGGAGGAGGAAGAGGAGGGAGAAGCTGTAAACAAAGAAGCTGCCAGAAGCCCTACTGCCCCTTTATCTCCAGGATCCAAGCCCAAAGCTTGGGTGTACTGTGCTGGGGAGGAAGAGGATCAAGCCACAGAGGAAAAAAGAACAGAGAATAAAGAAGTCATAAAGAACTCCGTTTCCCCCTCATTTTCAGGCTTTCACCCCAGGGCCTGGGAGTGTTGTTCAGGAGAGGAATCTGAGGAGGAGGAAGATGAATTCAGTGATTCAGGAGCAGCTGAGGAGGAGGGAGAAGCTGAGGGTCCCTCTTCCATCCCATCCACAAGTGCCCTTGTGAGGGCCTGGGTGTATCGACCAGGAGAGGACACAGAGGAAGAAGATGAGGACAGTGACTGGGGATCAGCTGAGGGTCCCTCTTCCATCCCATCTACAAGTGCCCTTGTGAGGGCTTGGGTATATCGACCAGGAGAGGACACAGAGGAAGAAGAGGACAGTGATTGGGGAGCAGCTGAGGAGGAGGGAGAAGCTGAGGGTCCCTCTTCCATCCCGTCCACAAGTGCCCTTGTGAGGGCCTGGGTGTATCGACCAGGAGAGGACACGGAGGAAGAAGATGAGGACAGTGACTGGGGATCAGCTGAGGGTCCCTCTTCCATCCCATCTACAAGTGCCCTTGTGAGGGCTTGGGTATATCGACCAGGAGAGGACACAGAGGAAGAAGAGGACAGTGATTGGGGAGCAGCTGAGGAGGAGGGAGAAGCTGAGGGTCCCTCTTCCATCCCATCCACAAGTGCCCTCGTGAGGGCTTGGGTGTATCGACCAGGAGAGGACACAGAGTTAGAAGATGAGGACAGTGATTGGGGAGCAGCTGAGGAGGAAGGAGAAGCTGAGGCCACAGATACCTTTTCAAGGGCCTGGGTATATAGGCCAGGAGAGGACACAGAGCCGGAAGAGGATTCAGAAGCAGCTAACTCTGAGCCAAGTCCCTCCCTTCAGGCTCAGAGCACCCTCCACCGGGGCTGGACATACCGGCCTGGAGAGGACACAGAGGGAGGGGAAGTTGCTGAGGAGTGGGGAGAAGCTGAGCCCTGCCCCTTCCGAGTGGCCATCTATTTACCTGGGGAGAAGCCACCACCTCCCTGGGCTCGTCCTCGGCTGCCCCTCCGACTGCAGAGGCGACTCAAGCCCACAGAAACCCCCACCCGGCATCCAGACCCTGAGACTCCCCTAAAGGCCAGAAAGGTGGGTACTGAGGACTCAATTTCTTGAGGCTTAGGGAGGAGTTGGAACTCCTGGGCCTGGGCGGGGGGCGGGGCGGAAGGGCTGGACGGCCCAACTTCTGGGTCCCCCGTGTGTTGCAGAGGGTTGCATGTGAACTCTGTTGGGAGGGCTGTGTTCACTGTAACGCAAGCCTTTGCAAGAGGCTGGGGCCCCGTGGGAAAGGGGGAGCAGCTGTGGCTCAGATCAGCACCAGGAAACAGTCTCCACCTGCAGTGAGTCACGTGGAGACTGCCGCGGGCCAGTGACTAGCAGGTGACTCAGACAACAAGCATTTCTGCGTCACTCATTTTTGTTTTGGTTCTCTTTCTCTCTCTCTCTATCTCCTCCTCCCCACTGTGGACACGTGGGCCTTGCATCCGTGCTGCTCCCGTCTCCAGGTACACTTCTCTGAGAAGGTCTCTGTCCATCTCCTGGCTGTCTGGGCAGGACCGGCCCAGGCCGCCCGCCGGGGACCTTGGGAGCAGCTCGCCCGGGATCGCAGTCGCTTCGCCTGGCGGATTGCCCAGGCACAGGAGCAGCTGGGCCCCTGTCTCACCCCTGCCGCCCGGGCCAGGGCCTGGGCCCGCTGTGGGAACCCTACCCCTCCTCTGGCCGCCACACCTGCTCCTCCCCAGATCTCACCATTGTCCTCCATCCAGGCCACACCCTTGAGCCATGTTGGGGCATCTCCCTCCACTCCTGTGTCCCCGTCTCCTTGCCTGGACCTCAGTGGGAGGAGTGGCTAAGATCATGGAGTTTCCTGTTTCTATTAGCTATTTATTTTGGGGGGGTTGTTATATCTAAGAAATAAAACCTGCTGATTTGTAGCAAAGCAATGTCACCATCACTGTGTGTATCTGAACTGACAATAATCCACTACCCCTGGGATAAAGGCGAGTACCTCAGTAGAGGACAAACTGTATTTCCCATCATCCCTCAAATTTGCCTCTTCTTGCCCTGAGGCTTCTTTTGAACTAAGGGCTGGTGGGTCTTGTAGTTTTTCTCTGGCATCGGCCTAAATTTTATTAAACTTGGGACGATTATCTCCCCAAGGGGGCTGGGAGCTGGACTCACTGATCACTAAAAAAGGGTTCAGCTCCAGTTTTCTGTGCCTCCCTGGAATATACTCATCCTCCTGCTGGCCTTTAAGTGGTGAGTTGCTCAAGGCTTTCAGCAATCCAATTTCACCTTTTTAAGCCCTGTTCCATAGACTGTTTTCTTACCTATAAAATGTGGCTAACAATAGCACATGCCTCATAGGATCGTAAGGCCCCGAAAGAGTTCATATTTATTTATTTGCCTTTTTTATTTTTTTTAAGATTTTATTTTTAAGTAATCCCTACACCCAGCGAGGGGCTTGAACTCACAACCCTGAGATCAAGATCCCACCATCCACCGACTGAGCCAGCCAAGCATCCCAAATCCATGTTTAAAACAATGCTTGCCACACTGTGAATTGTGCAAAACTGTTGAATCTCAGATCTGTACCTCTGAAACAAATAATGCAATATAGGTTAAGAAAAAAAAAAAAGAAGACAGCAGGAGGGGAAGAATGAAGGGGGGGAAATCGGAGGAGGAGACGAACCATGAGAGACGATGGACTCTGAAAACAAACTGAGGGTTCTAGAGGGGAGGGGGTGGGGGGATGGGTTAGCCTGTGATGGGTATTAAAGAGGGCACGTTCTGCATGGAGCACTGGGTGTTATGCACAAACAATGAATCATGGAACACTACATCTAAAACTAATGATGTAATGTATGGGGATTAACATAACAATAAAAAATTAAAAAAAAAACACAATGCTTGCCAAATAACAAATGTTAGATAAGTGTAGCTAGTATTGTAATTATTCTCACTCTCACCCATGCATGTCTTGAATTACCCATCCAAGTTTACATCTCCAACTCAGAAGTCTTTTCTGACCCCATGAGATCTATCCAGCAGCTGGAAGAAGAGTGGCTCAAATATCCTGCCCCCTGTCGAGCCTCTGACCCTGCCCCTCTCCAGTGGTTCCCCAGGCTCCTGCCACACTATCCTTTCATTTTCCCAAACCCATCAAGCCCCTTTTCACCTTAAGACCTTTGTATGAGCTGTGCCTACTGCCTGATGTTCCCACCCCTGACCCCTCTGGTCCTGGTTTCTCGTGATTCTTCAGATGTGGTGTGGAAATCACTTTTTTAGGGATACCTTGATCTGACCCAGCTGACCTGTGCCTCCGCGTGCTTTTCTCCTTCGTTGCAGAGGCGCATTTTAATTTTTTGTTAAGACCCAGCTCCCATGACTGTGAGTCCCGTGAAAGCAGGTGCTGCTGAAAACCCTACTCCCCTGGAGCACAGGACTGTGGGCACCCAGGCAGAGTATGATGGGTTGGTTATGAGTAAGGTGGAGCAAAAGAAGGCATGCGGGGGCCCTTTCTCCAAATGAGCAGGCACAGAAGCTGGTGAGGGCATGGTATTTCATTGGATTACTCACAGGCCAGCTTGCCACCGAAACTGGACAAGCAGACGGCAAAGGCTTGGAGCGGGCAAAGCGGGAAGCGGAAATCCATGGCGAACGTGTCTGCGGCCACGCGGCCGAACTGGAGCACCAGGTAGTCCGCTGAGGAGGAAGTCAGGAACTAAGTAAGCCTAGCCCCACTCCTCAACTCCCTCCCGCGGGCCTCTGAGCTTCGAGAACTACCACTTCTCAGAGGCTGTGCGGCGCTCCCACTACGCCCAGAAACCCTGAGGGCCACTAAACTACAGTTCCCAGCAGGCTTTGCAACAGCGTGGAATCAGCCCTCCCTAGAAAAACGCTCAAGTGCTGATGGGAGAAGTAGTTCTCGTCCACTCATGCCTCCCTGGCCCAGGTAAACCGGTTCCTAGGAGCTCACGGTCATCCGGATGCACGATTTGGAAGTTCTTGACCGAGGCCCGAGTGACTCGACCATGAAAATCGAGTACGTAGGCGCCGCTCTCGTCGCTCCACGACGGGGGTTTGTTTTGCAGCAGGACCAGGCCCTGGCTGGCGCCCCGTCGGAGGCGACTCAGTAGCGACTCCCGTTCCTATAAGATAGAGTAGGGGGCGTGGTTAACCAACCACCAATGAACGTTTTTCCTCCCGACGCAAAATTTTGCGTCCCTAATCTCTCCTCCTTGAGAAACATAAAAGTCTGACAAAGTCCATCTGGCTTCACATACGACCACCTGCAAGCCATGGACCCCCTTCTCCCTTAGGACCTAGGGCAGGTCCCCCAGACCTTCCTCCCCACTGATCCAGAGGTTCTCAACCTTAGCCAACTCACGTTTTGAGGCTGGACGCTGATTCTCCGGTTCTGGGAATCGAATCCTGGAATGATCACAGTCATTTTCCGGGGCCCTCCGAATCCCAAGACGTTGGTCTCCTGGGGGTATTATGCTCCAGTTGACCTGGCTCTTTCTCCCTCCCCACCGTCCTGCTTCATTCTCTCTTGTCTCCCAGACACTCACATAACACACAGCCCCCAGCTCCTCTCTGATGCGAGCGGTCTCCGGGACGAAATTCTTCCTTTCAGGATTCACCCCATTGTCAAAGATGGTGAACTTGGTGCCCAAGACATTAGATCTGCTCCAGGAGGGGAGTGGTCAGAGTAAAAATAATGACTGTTTTTGCTGTACATTAAGTGCTCTCCCATGTCATGTCATCAACTCTTCCCATTAACCCTCTAGTTGGGACTTAAGTTCCGTGTTCCACGCATCTACAGTCCCAATCCCCTCTGTTTCTTTGATGAGTCACGACTTTTAGTCCCCTGCCTTTTAGGAAACTTATTCCCCCTAAGATGCAAGAATGCGTACATCACAGCCCTCTCCCATGGGAACTTAGGAGTCCCACCCTCTTGCCTCTCAAGAAGTCAAATGTCTTAAATGTCAACCTCTGTTCCAAAGCCCTTAGTTCTCTTATTCCCATCCACCCTGGGGCTACCACCTGAAGATATACACAGTCCATCAGTCCGTAAGACAAGAGGTCCTAGAGCAGGCAGAACTTGTGCTCTGTGGCCTGCTTGTCCCCTTCTCCCCCACCCCTCCCGGCACCCCCCAGGCCTCCTGCCACCTATTTCTCACACCTATCAGGGCTCTGCCCACCTGACTTTGCCCACAAAGTTGTCCCCATCCCGAGACAGGTCTTTGGGGTCCAGGGAAATGAGGTAATTCGAGGTTGTGCTCCTTTTTCTCTTGCGCCCAGCCAGGAGGAAGTGCTGTGGGTAGGAAGAACGGCCCATCCGAAACAGTTTCTGATATCTGGCTAGGGTTAGGGGCCCAAGACAAGGAAACACCGTGTCCCCACGGCAGAGGAGAGGGTAATGGAGCAAAAAGCATCCTGAGCCTTCCTGGGAGATGCGGTTCTCACTGAAGGAAGTCATCAGCTAGGTCCTGAAGGGGAGCTTCACATCTTCATATCTCCGCCCCGCCATTCCTTCCGCCATTGGGTCCCGGGTCAGGGCTGAGCCCAGGCAGCGGTGAGCCTAACTGAGGCTAGGGAAGAGCCTCACTTGGAACATTGCAGCGGGACTTTGGTAGGCATTTCATCCGACAAAAGCAGGTCTAGCACTACTGAGTAGGGGGAAAGCCTCCTTTTGGGAGAGTGCCTTGAAGGGAGGCCTCCAGACCGAGGGGGAAACTAGCCAGATTGAGAGGAGCGTGATTGGGCTCTAGAATAGACAATCCACGAGGGGAGAAGCTTGGTTCCTAGGGGGCGGGACTTACCCGAGGATTGGGTAGGGGCCTGATAGATTAGAAGGCTCAGTGAGAGGCCGAACTTGGACAAACACAACGGGGCCAACACCTCGAGAGGGTGTGTAAGGGGTGAGGTTTTGGACCCTGAGACAGCGTGGCCTTACTTTGAGAAAGGTGGGCCCAACTCAAGAGTGGACGAGGCTTAGTTATGGGCTTGGTTAGGGCCTATGCTACTGCTAAAGTAGCCTAGTTCCGTGAAGGGCAGGGTTTGGCGTTGGAGTTCACAAGCCCTAGCTCAATGTCATCACTGAGCAAGGCCTGGATTCGTGCAAGTCTCGACCTCGCTCAGAAAGGGGCGGGACTTGCCACTGGGAGGTGGGGCTTGCTCGAGAGGGAGCCAGACCGTACCTCCCGGCCGTCGGCCGCCTCCAGGTAGAGACTGTAGAAGGGGAACATGCCCTTGTCTAGGCCGCGCTTGTCGCGGCTGATGCGGCACTGCACCGTGCGGCCGCGCAGCGCCGGCCGCAGCACATAAGCTTCCATGTCCTCTCCCAGCCGAGGGCCTGGCGCGAGGGGAGGCGAGCGGGGTGAGCTCCCCACCTCGCTGCTGCCCGCGCCGACCTCGCCTTCCGGGGTCTCGGACACCTCCTCTTCGGCTGCCGGTGGGGAGTTCCTCACTGTAGACTCCGACTCCTCTTTCTTCTCTGCCAAGTCTTCGCCCTAGTCCACGCGCCAAATTAAAATTGAGGGATGGTTGAGACCCGCCTCCACCACGGGTTTACCAACTACTGATTGGCCGTGACAGCTCAGGGTTACGCCCTCTCTTTACCATGTTTTCTGCCTATTGGTCAAACGTCTCGGCCACGTGCTGATTGGCCAGTACCTTCAAGGGGCCCGCGCAACCAAGCCCTCTTCATCTGTTCATTGGTCAGCACTAATAGCTGCCCTCTGAAGCCACGCCCACCTCATCTACCGGCTGGAGAATCTCTTTGAAAGCACTGTCCATTCAGCTAAAAGCAGTGTTGTTTCGGTCTAGATAACATATAATATGGCTCAGATCTCCCCATTTATCTTACTATTTATCTTACTTTCATTAACACCTGCGAGTACCAACTGTTGGCCCTCCCCCATCACTGTTTCACCCTCTCCAAAGCTCGCTGCCTTTCGGTGGGCTGGATTTTAATGTGTGTGCTTACATCGATTTAAACCCTCTAGACTGACTTCATAAATGGTACACACACAGAGACACTGATGGCCCAATCATAACAGGTTCCACCCACCAGTAAAAAGGGCCTCTGATTGGGCTGCAGAGTTTTAGACCCACCCTCTCTGGAGTCCGAAGCTAGCCCTTCTCCTATATTCTGATTGGCTGTGCCACCTCCCACCTTGTTGGAGGCTAAGTCTCCACGTCCCAGGTCACCATCCATGCCAGGGTTTGGTTCTGGACTGGCTGCCTCATATTCATCTCCAACATCTTGGGATTCACTCTCTTCCTCCGCACTGGCCCCTACGGGGTGGAAAGAGCCAGACGAAAACTGGCTCAGGACACCTGGGTCCCAGGAGCTTGGGACCAGGTCACCAGTGCTAGCTGGTAAAGGCCAGATATCCTGGGTTTCTGGCCTCTCCTTATTACTCATCACACTCATTTGCCAGATCCTCCTCCTCCCCCATGTGCCCGGGTGTCTACACTGGCTGAGAAGTCTCTGACTGCCCTGGGTCTAAGGACAGGATGGGGTTAGAGTCCTCCCTTTACCTTGTCCCAAAGAGCGCATCAGAGAGATTGGGAACTAAAATGGGAGGGAGGAATGGGGTTTGGGGTGATCATTAAGAGTCCTGTTATTGACTCTTTGGTCATGTCATGAGAATAGAAGGAATTGTCATACAATATTAAGAAATAACAAGTAACAATGCTACAACATAGGAGAACATTAAAAACATGATAAGCAAAAGAAGCCAATCACGAATGATCAAATACTATATTATTCTATTTAAGTGAAATGTCCAAACTGAGGGGGGATGGGGTAACTGGGTGATGGGCATTAAGGAGCGCACGTGATGTGATGAGCACTGGGTGTTATAGGCAACTGATGAATTATTGAACTCTACATCTGAAACTAATGATGTACTATATGTTGGCTAATTGAACTTAAAAAAATAAATAAATAAACAAATGAAATGTCCAGAATAGGCAAATCTAAAGAGACAGTACATTAGTGGTTGCCTAGGGCTGGGAGAAATGAGGTGTGGGGGGCGGGGGGGGGGTCACTGCTAAAAGGTACAGGGTTTCCCTCGGGATAATGATAATGTTCTAAAATTGATTGTGGTGATGGTTGCTCATCTCTCTAAATATACTAAAAACCATGGAATTGTAAACTTTAAATGAATGAATTGTATGGTATGTGAAATATATTTCAATAAAACTGTTACCAAAAAAGGGGGGAGGATCTGCCACATGGACCAGGGACCAGATTCCACCCAATGTCCCCTAAATTACCAGGTCGTTGGCGGGCTGGCCAACCCCTGCGTCGAGTCCCCGGAGGCTCTTTATAAGGAGGTGGAGAAGCAGGAACATCCTCCACGAAGACTTCCTCCAACTCCGGATCGGAACTGTCTGGTAGCCAGGATAAGGGAGAGGGACTAGAGACCGGGATTTTGGGGGGTGGGGAGGCGGGGAGGCGGGGAAGGAGCCTGGAGATTCAGATTCCTGAGTGTTGGAGAAGGAGTAGTTTCAGGATCTGGACTCCTTGGTGTGAGGGATGACAGGGCCCGTGGGGGCCTGGACTCCTGGGTTCTTTGGAGAGCAAGGATTGAGGTTCCAGACTCCTGGATTCTGGTGGGAGGGCAGTTCTAGGGTATAGGCGGCCCAAGGACTCGAGATTACCTCCTTCTGTCGGCGATGCCAGTGGGCCACGCTCACCGCTGCCGTCTCCACCGCAGCTCACGATGCCCAGGGCACTGTGGGCACCAGAGTGCAGATGTGCCTCTGGCATGTACTCCTGGAGGAAAGGGTTCCCAAGGCCTGGGAGAAGATGCAGCGAAGCCCATCAACCCGATGTACAAATTCCAGTCCTCTGCGAAGATCCGCTCCCTCACTGACTCCCAGACACCATCCCTGAGTGACCGCCCAAACCCGGGAGACCCATTCAGAACGCAAAGTCCATCCTAAGGCTCAAGCAAGCACAGACTTGCAGCTAAACTGTTGCAAACTCTGTGCCTACACAGTCTCACACACGGCTCTCGGTCTCTCCGGGGACCTGTCTCTAAATTATCCCGGCCTCGCCCCCCCCCCCGGGCTTTGTTAATTTCAGCCCTCACTCTCCCGAAATTGAGTCCCTGCCTTTTCCAGGGCCGCCCCACCGCCAACCTCCCCCAGACTCCGCCCCAGAGCTCTAGGAAGCCCAATCACGGGATTCTCTCGCGCCCCACCCTCTAGGCGGACCAGGCTCCACCCCCGCGCTCTCCCTGCTCCGCCCCTGAGCTCAGCCAGGTCCCGTTCCCGGGTCCCCAAGGGCCCTGCACTGGGCTCTCCTTGGGCTCCTGCCCCACACTAGAACTTTTCCTCACCCCTGTCACCCGCGAGGCGCTCCTCCCGCCTCCATGGTCGCCGGGGCCGCAGGGAAGCGTCGGGATTGGCCTGAACCATGAGGGGCTCTTGGCGCTTCCGCCGCTGCTTCTTCTCGAAGAGCCGCTGCTGCGGGAGTGGAAAAGGGGGGTTGTGGGGGCCAGGAACCGGACGGGAAGACAGGGGTGAAGGAGGGCCTGGGGCAGGGGGAGGCATGCATGGGAGGGAGTCTGGGAGTCCAGGCTCTCAGTCCCTCAGCTCCTCCTTCCTCGGATCCAGGAGTCCTGGCACCCTGTCCCCTCCTCCCCCAGGACCTAGCAGTCCTGCCCTCCAGAAGGGCATTCTCATCATCAAGATTTGCTTCCTTAGGATCCCCAATTCCTATTTTCTCATTTCCCAATTGCAGACTTGAGGCTTGGAGAGAGTCAACGAGGACCAGGAGTCCCAGAGCAAATCTTGGGGGTGGTGCTCCTGGAAGCTCTGGAAGACTGAAGGGGCGGGGGGGTGGGGGGAGGTGGCAGGACTCCCTGGCATAGTACCTGCTGTTCCAGCTTCTGCAGCCTCATGGCGGCGAGCTCATCCCCCAGCGCCCTGAGAGAGGTGCAGGCTCATGGTGACAGCAAGCAGGGCACCCCCGCTGCGCAAGAGCCCCTCCTTCCCTTCTTTCTTCCTGCCCAACTTAGGGTTCTGAGCACTTGTGAGGTCACAGAAGGAGCAGAACCTGAGCCTGCTCCACCAGTTCTGAAGCTCTTTTTCCCCAGCATTGGCCTGTCTAGAATCCAGGAATCAGAGATCCCAGGCCCCTCCTGTCTCAGGATTCAGGAGTCCAGGCCCCCAGCCCGTCCTCTTTCAGACCCATGAGTCCTCATGTGTAGCTCCCTCCCTTCAGGACCCAGAAGTCCAGGCCCGCGCCCCTTACCACTAGGCTAATGGTGCTGAACCTGAAAACATGGTCATAAAGCCAGAATGGAGTGAATGTGGGCATAATCAAACTTTAAGTTCCTCCTGCACCCCCATTTCCACCCCTGCGCATCCCCTTTCCCCACTCACTCTTTCTTCCACGTGTCATTCTCCTGAGACATTCTGGAGAAGCAGAATGAGGAGTCAGGACACAGACCAGTGGACCCAGGCAGCCCGAATTCCAGCACCTACTTGGTCAGGGACCCAGCAGCCTGTTTCCAGCTTTCATGACTTTGAGGGGCCCAGGAATCCAGTTCCCTCTCCCTCAAATAGTTAACTCTCCTTTACGCAGGCATAGGAACTTAGGACTCTGGGCCCCAAACACTCGACCCCCATTGACCCCCCCGATCTCCAGCACCCGCCTGCCTGGGATCCTGGCAACTCCTCTCCTGGTGCCTGCAAAGGCTTTTCACAGTCACGCCTCAGTACCTTGTCTCTCTGGCCAATTTCTAAACATACCTAACCCTCTCTTTAGCTGGGGACCTAATCTCTGGGTCTCTGGGAAATAAGCAGGCAAAGAAAGAGGGCTGGGGGGGGGGATTCCCACTGGGACCTGCCCTAATCCCCTCCCTCCTGGCCCCCCACACTCCACTTCCAACAAAGCAATGACCCTTGGCCTCCACGGCAGCCAGGCAACCCTGCTCCAGGGTTCTGAACCGGAAGGGCATGCAAGGTGTTCCTTAAAGGGACCCAAGAGAGCCGGCATCACTGGGTCGCTCTGCTCTCTCTCTCTCTCTCTCTCTATAGTGTATATATTAGATATATATGGCTTATATGTTAGATATATTAGATATATATAATATATTATATATTAGAAACTTATAAGATGACCTGTGCCAACTGCTACCGATCTGTAACTTGCTGCCACTTCTTGTGGAAAAATAAATGGGGAAAACTACAACTGCCAGGAGGCGAAGGCAGGGGCCTCTTCGCCCGCGGAAGTGGCCTCATTTTCCCCCTGCCTGCAGGGAACTGTAGTTCTCTTCGAAAGCCTGCGCTTTCCTTTCGCCTAAAAGGCAGGAAATGAGGCGTCAAGAGGTAGAGCTTCCGAGAAAGGAGGCGAGGCTTTCGAGAACAGACGAGCGACTTCGGCAAGGGGCGGGCCGCTAGACAGGGACCCAGGGGCCTGGAGCCAGTGCGGACCAATCAGGCTTCGGAGGGCGGGTCCTCTGCGGAAAATGGGCGTGGCCTAGGGGGGAACTCACCGGAACGCACCGGAGGTCCCAGCCCGGGAAAACGCCCTCTGCGGTGAAGCAAAGGTGAGGGGCTTGGGAGGGGGGGTCCTAGATTGGGTCCTGGGGAGGAGCGGGAGAAGGGGACCAGAGGGCTGGAAAACTGGGTCTCGGGGAGGATGGGCTGGGCACCAGTACTCCTAGATCCTGGCGAAGGAGGAGGCTGGGGGCCTGGATCTTTGGTTCTGGGGAAAAGGGGTTGAGATCCTGGATTCCTGAGTCTGAGCGAAGAGGCTGCTGGGTGCTGGGAGCCAGGACTCCTGGGTCTAAGGAAGGAAGAGCTGGACGTGCGGAATCCTGTGTCCCGGGAAACGAGACGCTTTGAGTCTTCACTCTTAGAAGGGGGGTGCGGGCGGCGCTGGGGCCCAGACTCCTGGGTCCAGGGGAGTAGGCGACTTGGGACAGACATTATCCACCTCTCTCCCCTCCACAGGCCACGCCGCCATGCCTTCCTCTGGGCCCGGCGCAGCCCTCCTCCTCCTGCTGTCACCGCTGCTGCTGCTGCGCGCTGTTCTGGCCGTGCCCCTGGAGCGGGGGGAGCCCAAGCCGGAGAGCCCCGCGACCGAGAGCCCCGTGAGTGGCCCTGCCCTGCTCTCCAGCCAGGTGTTTGCAAGTGGTACTACGATCCCCGCGGATCCCCGTCGCCCCTGGGTGGATACTTCCCCCACGGCCGCGGCTCGGAGTTTGCCTGCCATTCTTTGCAGTCCCGGGGCTTTGACGTGGTGAAAAACTCGGGGCGGGTGTGTGTGTGTGTGTGTGTGCGCGCGCGCGCGCGCGCGTGCGTGCATATTTCTAAGTCCCTGGCTCTGAGGTGTGGGGAAATCAGGTCAGATTTTAAGTGACAAATCTGCATTACCCCCTAGCTTAATCTGTATTCTTTGAAGCGCCCCCCTCCCCCAAGAAGGAATCCCGAAAAAGAACTACATTTCCCAGTAGCACCTTGGGCAGGTGGTGTTCCTTAACTGGGGTGTTCTGGCTTCATGGAGCTCGTGGGAGTTGAAAATTATGAAGGTAATTCCAACATGTGTTTATCAAATGCTATGAAACCTTTGGTCTTAGGGAATTTGGAACTTTAAAGATCCTCAAGGCCAAGGCCCTGATTTGTGGCCTGAATCCTATAGCTTTCATCAATAATGGGCACGTGACTGTCTCTGGAAGGGATCATTCCGTGCTCCTGTGTGTGGTCCTGACCTTGTGAGTTAGGCCTCTGCTTGGTGAAATCTTTGCAAACACAGAAGGGCACTTCTGAGTCCCCTTTCCCTTCATTCATCCCACACATTTCTTGAGAATGGGCACCAGGGTGATGGTCAGGGAGGAAGGGTCACGAGCTGAAATCTGAAGTGCAAGGAAGAACATCCCATGCAGGGGCAGCCTGTGGTGTGGAAAGCAGAGTGAGTAGAGAGACATGGAGGTGGCCAATGTGACTGGAGGGGGGTGGGGGAGGCAGGTCTGTGGGGCCTCAATGGGTGCTCTTCAACCTTACTTTATAGGTGAGGAAGCTGAGGTGCAAGAGAGTTTAAGTAACTTGCCCAAGGACTGAGGTTTCCAGGTTTAGCAAATAAAAACACAAGACACTCAGTTAAAATTGAATTTCACAGAAGCATGAATAATTTTGAGTATAAATACACTCCAGCAGTATATTTATACTATAAGTTATGCATTGTTTATCTGAAATTTAAATTGAACTAGGCATTCTAGCTGTCCCAACAAGGTCACCTAGCTAGTAATTGGCAGATTTGGGATTCCAGCCCATTGGCTAAACAGTCAAAATGTCCACACCTTGGGGCTCCTGGCTGGCTCAGTCAGTAGGGCATGAGACTCTTGATCTTGGGGTTCTGAATTCGAGCCCCACACTGGGTGTAGAGATTACTAAAAAAATAAATAAACTTAAAAAAAAAAAAAGATGTTAACACCTTAGTTCCCAGAACCTGTGACTATCTTACCTTATAGGGAAAAAGAGTATTGGCAGGTGTGATTGAGACAAAGCTCTTGAGATGGAAAAGTTATCCTGTATTATCCAGGTGGGCTCAATGTAATCACAAGTGTTCTCTATAAGAGGGTCAGGAAGGTCAAAGTCAGAGGTGATGTGATGACGTAAGCAGAGGTCACAGTGATGCAGGGTCATGTGCCAAGGAACGCAGGCAGCCTCTAGCCGCTGGAAAAGGCAAGGAAACAGATTCTCCCCTAGAGCTTCCAGAATAAGTTCGGCCCTGTCTACCTGTTCTGGGCTTCTGACCTCCAGAACTCTAAGAGAATACATTTGTGTTGCTCTAAGCCATTTAATCTGTGACCCTCTGTTCCAGAAGCAACAGGAAATTGGTACACCCACAATGGCATGGCTGAGCCATCAGCACCTGGTTATCAGGCTCCTACTGTGTGCTCCCTACATACGGAATGATAGCATTAATAGATCGAACGTCTCCTACGTCCTTAGCATCGCGCGAGGCCCTTTATCTCATGTACTTTTCACCACGGCCCTGAGAAGTAGGGAAATTTATTGCCTATTTTCAAACGGAAGCGGGAGGCCCAGGAAGAAGAGTGCCACCCACCTACCCATGCCAGGTCTGGGTCCAGGAGCCTAGGGATTTTTTTTTTTTTTAAAGATTTTATTTATTTATATGACAGAGAGAGACAGCGAGAACGGGAACACAAGCAGGGGGAGTGGGAGAGGGAGAAGCAGGCTTCCCGCTGAGCAGGGAGCCCGATGCGGGGCTCGATCCCAGGATCCTGGGATCATGACCTGAGCCGAAGGCAGACGCTTAACGACTGAGCCACCCAGGCGCCCCAGGAGCCTAGGGATTTTTGTCTGTCTTGTTCACTTGCCGGGTCCCCTAGCACGGCACCTGGCACGCGGTAGGAGCTCGGCGATCGCTTGATGAACAACGAATGAGTGTATATTTCGCCGCTTGCCAGCAAACCCTCGTGTGTCCACCCCGA